GAATACTATTAATACTATTGTAAGTAGGAGGGAAAATCGCCAACTGATTAGAAGTTACTCAACAAGGAGGAATAAGGATTTGCATCTGAATCCTACCAGCACCGCCCAACCTTTCACTTTGGTAGGTAATGCTTTGAGGGCTGCAGGCCCTCCTCTTCCTGAAAGTTGTGCATTTGTGTATTCAATAAAAGGAAGTAAAAAAATCTAAAAGATTTAAAGATTAATTAATTATTAGTCGATCTAATTAAAGGGTAAATCAGAAAAATACAAAAGGATCACTTGACTCATCTCAAAAAGCGCCTATACCGATCACGATGCGAAGATGCATTGGCTAAATTGGATGGATTAGTGCATTCCATTATTTCCCAATTTTTATTCAAATGAGTGTTTTTACAAGAAAAACCTGGTTAGCGGTCAAAAACTGCTATTAGGCTGGTCAACGATTAATGGAACGCTAGGTGTAAATATGCAGACTATTATTATTACTTTTTGACTTTTACGTTTAACCGATTTCATTTATGGCAGATTGTCCTTTTACATATTAAGTTGCCATCTGGTCAAAAGCACCACCTGGCTGTCGGACAGATATTTCATCCAATGATCTAACCGAGAAGTGTGACATCAGTTGTTCGCAGTATAATTTCATCTTATTCATTGAATTCAGATAGAGTCACTTGTGTTCCATTTTCGATGACAGCTGTGTCAAGACCGGAGTAAAAACCCATAGAATGCGTGAATGATTAATTAAAGGGTGCGAGAGACGACATGAATTTAACAACCAAATCCCAGCGTATCGAACAAACTTGAGAAAAACATCCCGTCGAGTTTGCACACAAGAAAAACAAACCGTTCGCTTTTTCTGCGATATATCACTGAGGTTTTTTATCAGTGAAGTAATGCTTTTTATCGTCGAATTTTGATTCACCATTTTGTTTATTAGAGTCATAAACAATTGTTTTCGGGGTTTCTACAGATTTGCATCAGGATTAAAAATTCGCCACCGGCAGACGAGAGAATCTTCGGTGAATCGAAAGTAGCCGCTTCCTGACCAGACGCCAAAATAAACTGGCTTGGAATGTCATATATTTTCCACAAAGATAACCGATTCTTAGCTCGCTTGGTGAAATCAATTTGAATCCACCGAATCCCACTGATTCCGTTGATATGATCCATTTCATTAGGTCTGAAAAAGATAATGAAAATGATTCGCCGGGACAGTTGGGCTTTGTGACCTCTTCGTCCTACTATGGGGCTAGTATTTTTCGGCTGTAGCATCTATCCCATAAAATACGTTTTTATTATCTGATAACTGTGAAAACCATTGAAAATGATGGAGAAAAATGGCGGACAGCAATGGCGTCTTTTTTATTTTTCGGTGAAATTTCAAATGAAAAATCCAATATCGGTTACCTCGTTAGATTTGTGTTCGAACCATGTATACGTTTTTTTTATTTGGGAGGCCAAATATATAAAGTTATAAATCCACCGATAAGATGTTTGTGCTCACAGTGACCAAAAAGAGCTCGTTATTGTTGATAGACAGAAGTAGGTATGCCAAGAGCATAAAAAGGACCTCAGAATTGCGCACAGTTGTCAGATCAGATCAATCCATACATTGATTTCATTATCCATTTGAAATGTGGTCCTCTCACTCATTAAACGTACAATTTTTAATGAAAAAGAAAGCTGTACAGGACTCGAACCTCGAGCATTTGGATCGGGGCTTCAAACCCCTACTCCTGAGCTACACTGTCAACGGTTATTACCTTGTGCGAATGGCTCAATTAATTTAGACAGTGAATGTTTGGATTAGCCCATTTGGTTTTTCACAGGCACCAGGCAAAGTTGATGATGTTTGGTGTGGGTTCCACTACTTGGGATATTATTTATTCCTCACTATTTGAGTGCATTTAAATGCGGTGAAAATGTTTGTGATAACCGACAAAGAGCTCTGGACGGTGCCTGGTGCCTGTAAAAAACTGAATGGGCTAATTCAAACATTGACCATCTAAATTGATTGAGCCATTCACACAAGGTGATGACCGTCGACCGCTTGGCTCAGGGGTAAGGGTTTGAAGTCCCGACCCAAATGTTCGCAGTTCGAGTCCTGACAGGGACATAAAAAGTACGCACTGCTGACCAGTCTCAAGCAGGACGAAACAGCGGTCCAGTGTTCTTTGTCGGTTATCACAAACATTTCCATCGCATTTAAATGCATTACCTCGTGGGGAATTCACTATCTCCCAAGGAGTACTGATGAAAAACCGAATTGGCTGATACAAACATTGACCATCTAAAGATGAGAAATATAATACGCGCATCCCCCGTACAACAGGAAAGTTGATATCTCGATGTCTGTCCATCGAGTTTGTATAGCACTTTGGGCACCAATTTTCGTCATAGTGTGAATGATCTTTGAATAGGTAACTTGCGAGAATTTCCGTGCTAGTTGCAGGGTTGATTATGCATGAGTCAGTGATCTTGTACTTCCAGAGTCCAGAGTGTAAAGTGTAAACTGCATGATTCAGCTCCAACCATGGAACAAATTCTGGAGACTGAGAGAGACCACAATGAACATAGGTAAACTAGCGAGGTGTTCACTTATTATCCTTGCTCCAATTTCGAGTCTGGACTTATGTTGTACATACAACATTGTTCGTAATGTTGGCCCATCACTTGACTTAACGAGAAGTTGCCCCTCTCCGTTAAGCGTGATGGATAGCAAACCGTCTGCAGCGTTGAGTATCGTTATCCCTATGTAAATAAAGATGAGTTTGATATGAAGGCAATCGGACTAACTCAAACGAGATTAGATATTAGGTGATGGATTGTAAACATAAATGAATTGATTTGTCCATACAAATCGCTCGCGTGATGACTTGTGTAGGTCCCGCTGCAGTGGGTATGCACAGTACAAGCACCAGGAGATTTAACCCTTCCGGATTGTTTTAAACTATCCGGATGGGATCAGTATTGATGACTGAAAACAATGGGAAATAAAACTGAACGTCATTAACAGCGATATTTTTGCAGTTTTATTTTTTTACTATGTTCTTAATCTTCGTTCAACGTACCTTCGAATAAGCTCACTTGTTTCAATCGTTTACAAGATTTCCCGAACGCTTTCGATGAACGAGACGAACGAAGCACATGGCACAGCGTCGGTATATTTAACACGCTGCGAATATATTGAAATTTTGTTTCCCCTATCCGTAGATAAGTTGCGATCTTTCTCTTGTGTCGTATCAGTTCGATTCTTCATAGTTTTTCGTGACATGATTTAAAAGAATACCTTCAACAGTGCAACATTTACCAGGGGAGTTCTTTGAAATGATCCATTTTTGTTTGTGTATCAATTACTTTCTAGTGATCCTTGCATAATACTATTTTCATTAACATTTTGATGCTTTGAATGACGAAACCTATGAGGAGTTCTACCAGAGAGAAAAGCACTATCCTATTCCCCTCGAATTTGGTAGATAATCAAGCAACAGTGCAATTACCAGCCTAGGTAACAAATCCCAGAATTATGGGTGCTGTTAACACCAAATCTTTAATCCCTCCTTACAGTTCGAGATCATCTTATTGTGGCCAAACCAAACGAGTCCATAGGAGCTGGTTGTCGTTACTTGGGATAGAATGAATAACGCGTTCGTTTGGTCAGATATCTCGTTCGGTTTTGCAGCATAAATTGGTTGGTATGATCTAGAAACGAGTTCGCACCTTAGAATGAAATGGCTCTTAATTTTGATTGTATTAACCCCCGAGAGTTTGCTCTGTTGTATGTGATCCGTCATCGCTTCAAGAGACAAACTTTATCGGCCAGATGTACAACTGTCTCGTTGAAAACACAGTCCACATTTTTGACCAGTTCGAACCGCACCTTCACACACTCGGGTAACTGTCTGATGACGCAATCAACTGTCATTCAGAAACACCAAATCGGTACCTTTGGAAATGGTGTCAGTGACCAGATGGATTTTCAAAGGTGGTGACGACGACCATTGTTCATGGTAGTGAGGACGGGGAGGGGGGAAGGGAGCGAATGCATCCGAACAGAGATGTTCATAATTTGCCATCCCACATTCAACGGTGTGTGTGTGTGTGCACCAATCAGAAAGTCTGTTTGGCAGACAATGCGTTGAATACGCGACACACGAGGAATCTCAGC